GCGCCCCCTCGGCTCGGCGCGCGCCTCTGGAGGTCCCATCGAGGTCTGTCCAAGAATCCCACACCCCGGCCCGGAGCCCTCCCGCAGCGCCCGTCTGCTGGTTCCCATTAGTGCAGTTCCGGTGCCGACTTCGCTGGGGGCGGGGAGGGTGACCCCCTGCACTCGGATCCTCCAGGTCCTAAAGGTAGCAAGTTTCCCGAACCCTCCGAGAATCTAGGGAGGGGGGGCCCTGGAGGGGTGGCTTTGCAAAGCCAGCGCACAGCACGGCGATCTTTTCTCTCTGGCTGACAGTGTCCAGGCTCCTAAAGAAAACCCCATAGTGGGGGTCGCACCGGGCCATTCATTCCCCCGAGTGGCCTAACCGGAGAAATCGGTTCTGTTCCACCCCAAACTGATGTCAACTTGCACCGCAGCTTAGGGAGCGTGCGTGCACCTTCCTTCGTAATCATGAGGAGCCACTGAAGGGTGTTAAGGGTGTTATGATGGGATTTGGCGTCGTTGGGAGAGGACTGGCCGCAAAGTGGTGGGCGTGGGTTGAAAGGAGGCAGGGGGCTGCTGTGGGCATAAGGAAGGGAAGAAGGCGGAAGGCAGAGGGATTCCAGAGCGGGCGCTCCGGGAACTGCACGGCTGCGGGAGAAAGAGGGGGCTCCGCAGTTTCACCTGCCTAGAGGCTGCACAGAAGGGGGATGAAGACGTTGTTGCAGATGCCTCCAGGCTGTGAGCTTCCAGGGCCCATTGCCACCTCCAACTGTGGAGACGATGGGCAGCTGGCTGGCCATGCAGGGAGGCCTGCAGGTGAGGTCTGAGGCAGAGGGGGTGGGAGTCAGGGGTGTGCCCTGGTGCGGCAGTCCCTGGGTAAGGTGTGTGAGGGGTGAGGAAACAAGACCAGAGGGGACCCGAAGGTTCTGGGCAGAGGGGTCAAGGAAAACCAGGTGTCTGTTATCCTGGGAGCTAGGAGGGGAGGGGGTTTAAAGGAGTGGGAGAGGGTCCAAGGCCAGGTGGGGTTAATGTGGCCAAACCCTCAGGGAGCTTGCCCAGTAGTGGTCCAGACAAGACAGCCAGGCTAGGAGAACAGTTTAACTTTCAAGGTGGTCGCACAGTATTACCAGGCAAGAGGGGACCCACACCCTTATGGTTCCTCCAATTAGCCAGGAACACAAACCATCTTCCTGCATTTGCAGCGCGCAGAGGGTGTTCAAATCACCCGCTGCCATCAGTTCGTGAGGCTGCAGTCCACACACTGCTGGCCTCTACCAACTTCCTCCTTCCAAATGGGTATATTGGTTGTTCTCGCCGTGCCTCCATTATTACTCCTCTCTCTCTCTCTCTCTCTCTCTCTCTCCTCCTCCTCCCTCCCTCCCCCCCACTCTCCTCCCCCATTGGTTTGGTTCAAAGTGACCCCCTGGGTAGGTGAGCCTGCCATCTGTTTCTTGCGGGGGGGGGG